AGTTATTGTAGTAGTAGTAGTAGTTGTATTAGTAGTAGTAGTTATGGAAGTAGTCGTAGTAGTAGCTATGGTAGTAGTAGTAGTAGTAGTAGTTATTGTAGTATTCGTAGTAGTAGTTATGGTAGTAGTAGTAGTAGTAGTAGTAGTAGTAGTTATTGTAGTAGTAGTAGTAGTGGTAGTAGTAGTTATGGTAGTAGTCGTAGTAGTAGTAGTAGTAGTTATGGTAGTAGTAGTAGTAGTAGTAGTAGTTATGGTAGTAGTAGTATTTATTGTAGTAGTAGTAGTAGTAGTAGTAGTTATGGTAGTATTCGTAGTAGTAATTATGTTAGTAGTAGTAGTAGTAGTAGTATTCTAAGTAGTAGTAGTAGTAGTAGTTATTGTAGTAGTAATAGTAGTAGTAGTAGTAGTAGTAATTATGGTAGTAGTCGTATTAGTAGTATTAGTAGTACTTATGGTAGTAGTCGTAGTAGCAGTTATGGTAATAGTCGTAGTAGTAGTAGTAGTAGTTATGGTAGTAGTCGTAGTAGTAGTTATTGTAGTAATAGTAGTAGTAGTAGTAGTAGTAGTTATTGTAGTAGTAGTAGTAGTAGTAGTAGTAGTAGTAGTAGTAGTAGTAATAGTAGTAGTTTTTGTAGTAGTAGTAGAAGTAGTAGTAGTTATGGTAGTAGTCGTACTAGTATTATTAGTAGTTATGGTAGTAGTCGTAGTAGTATTTATGGTAGTAGTTATTGTAGTAGTAGTAGTAGTAGTAGTAGTAGTTTTGGTAGTAGTCGTAGTAGTAGTTATGGTAGTAGTCGTAGTGGTAGTAGTAGTAGTTATGGTAGTAGTCGTAGTAGTAGTTATGGTAGTAGTAGTAGTAGTAGTAGTAGTAGTTATTGTAGTAGTAGTAGTAGTTTTGGTAGTTATGGTAGTAGCCGTAGTAGTAGTTATTGTAGTAGTAGTAGTTATGGTAGTAGTCGTAGTAGTAGTAGTAGTAGTTATGGTAGTAGTCGTAGTAGTAGTTATGGTAGTAGTTATTGTAGTAGTAGTAGTAGTAGTAGTTATTGTAGTAGTAGTAGTAGTAGTAGTAGTAGTAGTAGTAGTAGTAGTAGTAGTAGTTATTGTAGTAGTAGTAGTAGTAGTGGTAGTAGTTATGGTAGTAGTCGTAGTAGTAGTATTAGTAGTTATGTTAGTAGTCGTAGTAGTAGTTATGTTAGTAGTTATTGTAGTAGTAGTAGTAGTATTAGTAGTAGTAGTAGTAGTAGTTATTGTAGTAGTAGTAGTAGTATTGGTAGTAGTTATGGTAGTAGTCGTAGTAGTAGTATTAGTAGTTATGTTAGTAGTCGTAGTAGTAGTTATGGTAGTAGTTATTGTAGTATTAGTAGTAGTAGTAGTAGTAGTTATGGTAGTAGTCGTAGTAGTTTTTATGGTAGTAGTCGAAGTGGTAGTAGTAGTATTTATGGTAGTAGTCGTAGTAGTAGTTATGGTAGTACTAGTAGTAGTAGAATTAGTAGTAGTTATTGTAGTAGAATTAGTAGTAGTAGTAGTAGTATTAGTAGTATTTATTGTAGTAGTAGTAGTAGTAGTTATTGTAGTAGTAGTAGTAGTATTAGTAGTAGTAGTCATGGTAGTAGTCGTAGTAGTAGTTATGGTAGTAGTAGTAGTAGTAGTAGTAGTAGTAGTTATGGTAGTATTCGTAGTAGTAGTTATGGTAGTAGTGGTAGTAGAAGTAGTAGTAGTAGTAGTTATTGTAGTAATAGTAGTAGTGTTAGTAGTAGTTATGGTAGTAGTCGTAGTAGTAGTAGTAGTAGTTATGTTAGTAGTAGTAGTAGTAGTATTTATTGTAGTAGTAGTAGTTATTGTAGTAGTAGTAGTAGTAGTAGTTATGGTAGTATTCGTAGTAGCAGTTATGGTAGTAGTAGTAGTAGGAGTAGTATTTTATGTAGTAGTAGTAGTAGTAGTAGTAGTAGTAGTTATTGTAGTAGTAATAGTAGTAGTAGTAATAGTAGTAGTAGTAGTAATTATGGTAGTAGTCGTAGTAGTAGTAGTAGTTATGGTAGTAGTCGTAGTAGCAGTTATGGTAATAGTCGTAGTAATAGTAGTAGTAGTTATGGTAGTAGTCGTAGTAGTAGTTATTGTAGTAATAGTAGTAGTAGTATTAGTTATTGTAGTAGTAGTAGTAGTAGTAGTAGTAGTAGTAATAGTAGTAGTTTTTGTAGTAGTAGTAGAAGTAGTAGTAGTAGTTATGGTAGTAGTCGTACTAGTATTATTATTAGTTATGTTAGTAGTCGTAGTAGTAGTTATGGTAGTAGTTATTGTAGTAGTAGTAGTAGTAGTAATTTTGGTAGTAGTCGTAGTAGTAGTTATGGTAGTAGTCGTAGTGGTAGTAGTAGTAGTTATGGTAGTAGTCGTAGTAGTATTTATGGTAGTAGTAGTAGTTATTGTAGTAGTAGTAGTAGTAGTATTGGTAGTTATGATAGTAGTCGTAGTAGTAGTTATTGTAGTAGTAGTTATTGTAGTAGTAGTAGTTATGGTAGTAGTCGTAGTAGTAGTAGTAGTAGTTATGGTAGTAGTCGTAGTAGTAGTTATGGTAGTAGATATTGTAGTAATAGTAGTAGTAGTAGTAGTAGTTATTGTAGTAGTAGTAGTAGTAGTAGTAGTAGTAGTTATTGTAGTAGTAGTAGTAGTAGTAGTAGTAGTAGTAGTTATGGTAGTAGTCGTAGTAGTAGTAGTAGTAGTTATGGTAGTAGTCGTAGTAGTAGTTATCGTAGTAGTAGTAGTAGTAGTAGTAGTAGTAGTATTAGTAGTTATTGTAGTAGTTGTAGTAGTAGTAGTAGTAGTAGTTATTGTAGTAGTCGTAGAAGTAGTTATGGTAGTAGTCCTAATAGTAGTAGTAGTAGTTATGGTAGTAGTCGTAGTAGTAGTTATGGTATTAGTAGTAGTAGTAATATTAGTAGTAGTTATTGTAATAGAATTAGTAGTAGTAGTAGTAGTATCAGTAGTAGTTATTGTAGTAGTAGTAGTAGTAGTTATTGTAGTAGTAGTAGTAGTTGTATTAGTAGTAGTAGTTATGGTAGTAGTCGTAGTAGTAGCTATGGTAGTAGTAGTAGTAGTAGTAGTTATTGTAGTATTCGTAGTAGTAGTTATGGTAGTAGTAGTAGTAGTAGTAGTAGTAGTTATTGTAGTAGTAGTAGTAGTGGTAGTAGTAGTTATGGTAGTAGTCGTAGTAGTAGTAGTAGTAGTTATGGTAGTAGTAGTAGTAGTAGTAGTAGTTATTGTAGTAGTAGTATTTATTGTAGTAGTAGTAGTAGAAGTAGTTATGGTAGTATTCGTAGTAGTAATTATGTTAGTAGTAGTAGTAGTAGTAGTATTTTAAGTAGTAGTAGTAGTAGTAGTTATTGTAGTAGTAATAGTAGTAGTAGTAGTAGTAGTAATTATGGTAGTAGTCGTAGTAGTAGTAGTAGTTATGGTAGTAGTCGTAGTAGCAGTTATGGTAATAGTCGTAGTAGTAGTAGTAGTAGTAGTTATGGTAGTAGTCGTAGTAGTAGTTATTGTAGTAATAGTAGTAGTAGTAGTAGTATTAGTTATTGTAGTAGTAGTAGTAGTAGTAGTAGTAGTAGTAGTAGTAATAGTAGTAGTTTTTGTAGTAGTAGTAGAAGTAGTAGTAGTTATGGTAGTAGTCGTACTAGTATTATTAGTAGTTATGGTAGTAGTCGTAGTAGTATTTATGGTAGTAGTTATTGTAGTAGTAGTAGTAGTAGTAGTAGTAGTTTTGGTAGTAGTCGTAGTAGTATTTATGGTAGTAGTCGTAGTGGTAGTACTAGTAGTTATGGTAGTAGTCGTAGTAGTAGTTATGGTAGTAGTAGTAGTAGTAGTAGTAGTAGTTATTGTAGTAGTAGTAGTAGTATTGGTAGTTATGGTAGTAGTCGTAGTAGTAGTTATTGTAGTAGTAGTTATTGTAGTAGTAGTAGTTATGGTAGTAGTCGTAGTAGTAGTAGTAGTAGTTATGGTAGTAGTCGTAGTAGTAGTTATGGTAGTAGTTATTGTAGTAGTAGTAGTAGTAGTAGTAGTTATTGTAGTAGTAGTAGTAGTAGTAGTAGTAGTAGTAGTAGTAGTAGTTATTGTAGTAGTAGTAGTAGTAGTGGTAGTAGTTATGGTAGTAGTCGTAGTAGTAGTATTAGTAGTTATGTTAGTAGTCGTAGTAGTAGTTATGGTAGTAGTTATTGTAGTAGTAGTAGTAGTAGTAGTAGTAGTAGTAGTAGTAGTAGTTATTGTAGTAGTAGTAGTAGTATTGGTAGTAGTTATGGTAGTAGTCGTAGTAGTAGTATTAGTAGTTATGTTAGTAGTCGTAGTAGTAGTTATGGTAGTAGTTATTGTATTATTAGTAGTAGTAGTAGTAGTAGTTATGGTAGTAGTCGTAGTAGTTTTTATGGTAGTAGTCGAAGTGGTAGTAGTAGTATTTATGGTAGTAGTCGTAGTTGTAGTAGTAGTAGTTATGGTAGTAGTCGTAGTAGTAGTAGTAGTAGTAGTAGTAGTAGTTATTGTAGTATTAGTACTAGTAGTAGTAGTAGTTATGGTAGTAGTCGTAGTAGTAGTTATGGTAGTAGTAGTAGTAGTAGTAGTAGTAGTAGTAGTAATAGTAGTAGTTATTGTAGTAGTAGTAGTAGTAGTTATGGTAGTAGTAGTAGTAGTAGTTATGGTAGTAGTAGTAGTAGTAGTAGTAGTAGTAGTAGTAGTAGTAGTAGTAGTAGTAGTAGTAGTAGTAGTAGTAGTAGTAGTAGTAGTAGTAGTAGTAGTAGTAGTAGTTATGGTAGTAGTAGTAGTAGTAGTTATGGTAGTAGTAGTAGTAGTAGTTATGGTAGTAGTAGTAGTAGTAGTTATGGTAGTAGTAGTAGTAGTAGTTATTGTAGTAGTAGTAGTAGTAGTAGTAGTAGTAGTAGTAGTAGTAGTAGTAGTTATTGTAGTAGTAGTAGTTATGGTAGTAGTAGTAGTAGTAGTAGTTATGGTAGTAGTAGTAGTAGTATTTATGGTAGTAGTAGTAGTAGTTATTGTAGTAGTAGTAGTAGTAGTAGTAGTAGTAGTAGTAGTAGTAGTAGTAGTAGTAGTAGTAGTAGTAGTAGTAGTAGTAGTAGTAGTAGTAGTAGTAGTAGTAGTAGTAGTAGTAGTAGTAGTAGTAGTAGTAGTAGTAGTAGTAGTAGTAGTTATTGTATTAGTAGTAGTTATGGTAGTAGTAGTAGTAGTATTAGTTATTGTAGTAGTAGTAATAGTAGTAGTTATTGTAGTAGTATTAGTAGTAGTAGTAGTAGTTATTGTAGTAGTAGTAGTAGTAGTTATGGTAGTAGTAGTAGTATTAGATACATACATACATACATAGTAGATACATACATTGATGATGGTGACTGCCTAATACATTTCTGTCTGAAATGTACACTATTACTCATAAATCCTTTTTCTTTTGACATTTTCGACCTCTGATCTGATGATTTTCTCAAGACTATTATTATATAACTGAATTTTTGTGTCATTGAATTTCGTAACATTTCACACTGACGAGATGTATATGTAATTTTTATACCTACCTGACTGACTCACTAGTCGAATGTATCACACTGCACTACACTACACTACACTACACACATTAACCCCGTCACTCCACACCACCACACCCTCTATAAATGCTTTGTAAATTTTCATATTTCATAATAATAATAATAATAATAATCATAATAATAATAGACTACTTGTCACCCACCACCCTCTCCGTCTGTGACAGTTATTTGTCACCCCTCCCTCCCTCCCTCCCTCTCTCTCTCCCTACCAAAGTGGGTGTCGGCTGGTTCAGTTATATTTACCTAGTACTGCTATCACATCACATCACACCTGTGATAAAAACTACTAATTTTATTCGTTCCAATAGACCAATCATACACCACATTTATGTGTAATGTAATTCTCTGACCTGTCGACAAGCCTATGGCCATCACACTAGCTATTATTATTACTATTATAATTACTATCATTCCCATAGTTGTTTTGTAAGGATTATCATGTAATGTAAGGCTCAATTCTGGTAGTAATGTTTTCCATATTTCCGTATGTAGTAGTAGTAGTAGTTATTGTAGTAGCAGTAGTAGTAGTAGTAGTATTAGTAGTAGTTATGGTAGTAGTAGTAGTAGTAGTAGTAGTTATGGTAGTAGTAGTAGTATTTATGGTAGTAGTAGTAGTAGTAGTAGTAGTAGTTATGGTAGTAGTAGTAGTAGTAGTTATGGTAGTAGTAGTAGTAGTAGTTATGGTAGTAGTAGTAGTAGTAGTTATGGTAGTAGTAGTAGTAGTAGTAGTAGTAGTAGTAGTAGTAGTAGTTATGGTAGTAGTAGTAGTAGTAGTAGTAGTAGTAGTAGTTATGGTAGTAGTAGTAGTAGTAGTAGTAGTAGTCGTAGTAGTAGTTATTGTAGTAGTAGTAGTAGTAGTAGTAGTAGTGGTAGTATTAGTGGTAGTAGTAGTAGTAGTAGTATGAATAGTAGTAGTAGTGGTGCGTCAGTCACAAATGTCACCATGACCGCTTTCTATTTAAATATTTGTTGGTAGAATTATGCATATTGCCATTTAGCCTGATGAGATCTAACTGAAAACAATGTTGTCTTTATGAATGTGTTTTATCGGAAATCATTTTAATATATGTTTAAAACTGAGACACAATGGTAGTATGTAATCTCATGCGAATTTGTTTATTAGATATCACGCACACAGAGTGAAACAGTATGATTATTATTAACTGGATGACAAAGTTTCCAACAGGATTTATTTATTCATTGTTCATAATCATATTATCAATTGTAACCACACAACTTCGAAACTTTCGTTTCACCCTTTTCTTTATTTCCTCCTACTCGTCGTCGGTTTGGGCACGCGGCTGTACAATTTTCCAGAAATCTGGGTGGAAAGGTGTTCAATCATCCCTGTTGCACGTATTTCCTCTCAGTCGATTCGATAGATAAAGACTCAGTCAGTTTTCAATCACTCCCTCCCTCCCTCCCTCCACTCTGTTATTTTCGATTTTCAGACTGCGATCTTATCCCATCAGCCTATTGTGAGGTTGTGTGTAATTGTATGTAGTGAGTGGTACATCTGAACTATTCTGGAGATTTCTTATCTCAATAGGGTCAACTATTCTACATTTTGCGAGGTTTCTGATTGTGGTCAATTAATCTATGTTTTTCCAAGTTTCTGTACTCCGCTAGTCTGACTGACTGACTGACCCTGTTCTACTACATTCACCTATGCATTATTTCACATGACACACACAATCAATACAACAGGGTATTAGATAAACTTAATTGCCTTGTTTAATTGGCTCCATAGACAGGCATTCTTTAGCCGACAATGCTTGTTTCTTATTCCTTTTTATGAGTGACTGAATGCTGGCCAATTTTATTCTTGCCTACGCTGTTCAGAATTCTCCTGATTGTTGAAATTCATCCTGATAAATTAATTAATCAGGAAGTATGTGGGAAAGTGTCAAAACAAAATTGATAATAATGGTAGAGATAGTGACAATAATAATAATAATATTAATGATGACATGCATGACAAGCATGCATGCACAGGATAATGACAACACCAACAATGAGGAATATTAATCCTCAGTAGTGCGTGCTCCCGTACAGAGAAGAAACCTAGGAGATTTTACGGAGTAGAACTGTTAACAATGCAGGCAGGAATAAAAGCCGCTGGCACTCAATTATCCACAAAGTGAATTAGTAACAAGCTATGTTGGTTAGGCGATCCTGCCTATGGAGCCAATTAAACAAAACAATTCAGTTTATCGAATAGCCCTCTGTAATGATTGTCGGGTCAAGTTCACAGCTCAGAGTAGTAGAACGTGGTGAGTCAGTCAGTCAGATTAGTGGAGTACAAAGAACAGCAAAACCTAGATAAGTTGACCACAATAAGATGAGAAATCTGGAGAATAGTTCAGCTACAGCACTCACTACATGCAATTACACACACAACCATGCAATATATACGATGATGGGATAAGATGACAGTTTAAAAAACTCTAATGTAACAGGGTGGAGGGAGGGAGGAAGGGAGAGATTGAATACTGATTGAGACCTTATTTATCGAATCGACTGAGAGGAAATACGTGCAACAGGAATCAGTGAACATCTTTTCACCCAGACATCTGGAAAATGACCGATAGAATAGAATAAAGAAAACCATGAAACGAAAGTTTCGAAGCTGTGTAGTTATAATTAGTGTGATATGATTATGAACAATAAAGAAATGAATTGTGTTCCAAAAGGCGTCGTCATCCAGTAATCAGTAATACTGTTTCACTCTGTGCGTGTGCGCGTGGTATATCTAATAAACAAATTAATATGGAATTACATGCTACTGTAACAACAGAAGACAAGGGCCAGGCAACAGATCAGTTTTATTACGAAAACCAACAGGTATTTTTATGTATTTTACGTACATTAATAAGGCTCTGCCCGCGGAAAGAAGGCGGTCTTCTGATTGGTTGTTTGCAAACCAACGCAGTCTTCTGCTTTCTCGTTTTCGATATTTCTCGGAAATGCGAGCCACTTGTCTGCGAATCATATTTGTCCACGTCTAGGTCAGCTGTGATTGGTTGTTGAATCAGCCTAGATTAATTTCCACCAATCAGCGTAGATCAATGTCTACCAATTGGCTAGCAGCTTGCTCTCACCACACTACCACCACACTGCCCAAGGTTTACACTTATATTATTATGAAACGTATATTCTACTTATCACAGGTTGTTTATTATTCTTATGTTGCATATACCACCAGTATTTTAAGGGAAATAAATCGTAGCCCCCCCCATCCCCTTTACATGATCACATTAACACTTGCACTGGCGTGTATTAGTTGACAGACCACCCCACATCACTCAACTTCACTGGTTAGTATTTCCTGATCGTAAACTATTGTAACTTATTGAATAATTATTAAACAGACCTCTCTCTGTGTTGTGCATATCGCCCTCCTCCCTGTTTATAGTCATCCTGCCAGCGGAGGTAATTGCTGATAAGCCGTAGTAATAGAGTAAGTACCTCATTATACCCAAATACAACAATCCCCCGTGTGGTGAATATGGCTTGTTACGCATGCATTATGTTTTCCAATTTGACAACACTTTTTCACCTCGACAAACAACAAATACCATTATTATTATTATTATTATTAATGCATGAATGGTGTATAATCTTGTTAGAAATATTTATTTCAACAAATACAATTCTTATATTACAAATGCTACATCATTCAAATGCATAATCGCCTGTTTATGCTTCACGAAGAAGGGCTCTAAATTATAGGCTGGACGGTTGCCGAGGTGACGGTTGCAACCTGGAAATAGGAAAACAATAAAAGATGTGTCACAAAATGATGACTATTAAAATAAGTGCTAAGAAACAAAGTTATGCTTTATGTCACACAAACACAAACACAAATGGAAGACTTGCAGGCTGACTGGTTGGCAGGCAGTGAAGTCAGATGGATTCCATCCAGGCGATGAACATAGAGAAGGTGAAGCAGTGAAAGTGAGGAAGATAACCAACCAACCACTACCAACAACAACAACAACAACAAGCAGTAGCTCGAATCACCATGAATGGGAGAAAGCGGTTCAAAGAGGTTAGTTACTTCCTGCATTCACTCATCTAGCAAGCACGCTTACAACCACAAGCAGTCGGTCGGAATGGATGAAGACATGAAAACCACCAGCTAGCCAGCCAGCCAGAATGGGAAAGTCTGGGGAGGTAAACCTCATTCATCAACCTGAAATCCATTTGCAAGTGTTCTGCAATAACTCAGTAGAACAAAGAACAAGATTCAGATTCTTCACACAAATGTCAGTGAAGTCAGTCAGTCAGTCAGTCAGTAAGTTCTTCTATGGGGGTCATCGCATCTGTAGAGCCATAGCATCGCTTCACGTACAGGATTTCCAACAATGTACACAATTTTATCAATGCGTGTCATTTTCGATGACCGGCTGGCGCCATAGCGGAGTTCAAATGCCCAGCCAGCCAGAAACAAACCGACTAAGTGTTGATCGGTCAACAATGGAGGTAGATTGTTTAGGCATACGTTGAGTAGGCAGTTGAATGACATCGCGCGTAATGCAAGCCATCGTCCGAGTGAGACCCAACTAGGAAGTGACGAGTGGGTCGTCGGTGTGAGGGTGACATAGATGAGATGGTGTGAGTTGGAGAAAGGAAGAGATAAGAGATTATGTGCAATCATGTGCTCAGTCAGATGAAGAGGACGGCAGAGAATAGAAGAAGATGGATGATATGTGTTGTTGAAGCCATATGTTCCACTCGGAACCCAAAGGAATAATAAAATATCGAAACAAAGCACCTCTGGAGTTAAAAGGTTGTCTCTCTCCACTGATATCTTACCAATCAATCAACTCACATTCTCTTCTGGTTGTAAAATCTTGTGAGTATTATCAAAATTTTCATAACACTCATATTCGAACACACTTCTTCATCATCATCATTTAGGAAAACATGTTCCATTTACCTCAATTGTTTCATATTTCTTACTGGAATTAACAATTTACGAGGAATTTCAACATTTCTGATACACACACTAACATGTTAACTCGATGACAAGTAGATGTTCGATCAAAATGTTGAGAACGACGACTACTTTTCTCTATTTCTACGCTTAAAATCTAGCATTCGTAGTGCATTTCAGTGGAGAAATCTCATAGAAAACAAAACACGTAGATCAGCGAAGAGTCTCTTTTCGGCGAATTCATCTTCTTAGCTGTACATTCGCAAATATATATGCATTGTTTTGTATGTATGTGTACATTAAGTTTGTCAAACAAAGTTACAATTGGTTAAGGTTAATTTTAACTAAACAAGTGAAGGTTGGTAATACAGGTCAAGAAAATTAAGTGAAACTAGGGTAGTAACAAAGGTAGTGAGTTTTACTCAGGATGCACATAGAAACAAAGTAGAAATTATGTAAGAGATCTAAGTGGATACAAGAATTACAATTGCTTAAGGTTATTTTAACTAAACAGATAAAGGTTGGTAATATAAGTCAAGGCAATTAAGTGCTAGGATAGTAACAAAGGTGATGAGTTGTCACAAACAGTTGTTAAAAGAAGTTATGCAATAATAATATGAATATTTTGATGAGTGAGTTTTACTCAGGATGCACATAGAAACAAAGTAGATAATACGAAACTATGTAAGAGATCTAAGTGAATACAAGAATTATAAGCAACTAAGGAACAGGCAAAGAAACAAAGTTAAGTTATCAGAATAAAATAAAAATCAAAAAGTCAAAACATTGTTACCATGAGAGTGGAAGTGGTTGAGTAATCTTCTTTGCATACATAATCTTCTTTGCTGTGCATACAAAAGAAGATTACTCAACCACTTCCACTCTCACTTCATCTCTTCTCATCACATAAAATGTGTCACGACTAAATAACGTATTGTACTGATTTTGTACCTAGTCGTTCAAGAATAAAGTCCTCCATAGTTGCTTCTAGTTCATCAGATGAGATAGATCCTAAAAGAGAGTTGTGTGTGTGTGTGTGTGTGTCCGTGTGTATAGAGAGCACGTTCACAGTCTGACAAGAGTTTACCAGTATTTGCTAATTCTTCCCAGGAGTCCATGTGCCCATCTACAATAGCATTAACGAGTTAGAAATAGCAACACCCCACTCACTCTCTCTCTCTACTCACTGCTCTTAGTGCCATTCGTAGTGTAACAAAGTCATTCTTAAGCGTAGCCCAGGAAAGATTAAGGGTAAGCAGTAAAGTAGAACGTCAAACCAAAAATATCCTTCTGGAAACTAACATGATGTGCGAAGACCAGGAAAGGTGATGTGACGAAATGAGACACAGTCCAAAGTATTTAACAACATTCGATTTAGTTTCAACTTCAGTACCACGTGTGATGGATGATATTGGAACCATGCCAACTAACCAATTCACCTAGGTTACGCTTGCATCTGAAAGTGAAATTAAACAAACTGGCATTTGTGGAGAGATTCAGCTCAAGGACTAATGATTAATTTCCGATAAAAATTTATTCATTTTGGAACAGTCTGACTGAGAAGTAACCGCCGGGATAGAAACAGTCAGATCATCGGCATTATTATTATTATTATTATTATTATTATTATCACTCCATTGGGTTCCAAGTGGAAAATAGGGAGTCAGCAGCACACCTCCACTTTCTTCTCCATTCTCTGCTCTCCTCATCATCTGGCTGATACAACGCTCGCCCATAACCTCTCATCTCCCCCATGTCAACACAGCACCGACCACCGACTGGTCGATTCCCATTTGGGTCTCACTCGACCGATGGCCTGCATTACGCGCGATGTCATTCGATAGCCTCCTCAATGTATGCCTAAACAATCAGTTTCCATTCCATGGAAAATTCCATTTTCTGGACGTAAAGTTGGAGAGAAAATACGACGGGACACTCGGAAGATCTGTATATCGTAGAGACACATGCAGTGGTCTTTACCTGAGATACAAACGAACGCTAGTAAAAACGCTTTTCTCTAGAGCGAAGAGAATATATTCACAGAACAAAACTAGACAGTGAACTAATGCTTCTTGAAAAGTACTTGAAAGAAAATGGTTACCCACAAAGTTTCATTAAAAAATATGGCAAGAGTGTGAACTCAAGAGGCTTGATACTGCTACAGTCAGTAAGAAGCCTATTTTCATCAAACTCGACTACAAGGGCGACGACATTATGAGAATGATAAATAAAAGATTAAGCGCAGCCCTGTCTAGGACGTATCCTGCGGCATTATCCGTCTCTCTACCCCGAACAACCTCCTCACTGGTGCAGTCAAAGATTGACAAGTACCCTTCACATGTTACCTCCAACTGTGTATACCAATTCACATGTATCTGCGGGAGCAGTTACATTGGAAGAACAGAGAGGAGGGCCTACGTCAGATTCTGCGAACATGTACCAAGAAGCGAGCATCCGGTTAAAGGGACCGAATTGTTCAAACTCTTCAATCACCAAACACCTGACTGACATAGGACACCGAGTAGATGTACTGGAAGCATTCAAAATAATTAACAGACAAAGTACCTCAAGTCTTCTCAGGTTTGCTGAAGCTATAGCAATAAAACGATTGACTTATGTGTCCAAAAAGAATCCGTTGTTGTTGGACTTCAATTACCCTGGTGACTCACTTCTTCTTAGTAACTCTTTGTTTTCTAATTTTGCTAACTTATCTTTTCACTCCCCGCTCCCCCCCACCTGTCTTTTTCGCTTGACTCTCTTAAGAGATAATTTTTCTTGATCTTCTGAGTTCTGCTCAATGTATTATATCATCAACTTCTCATCTGACCTCAAATGCACCGAAATTTTGATCTTTTCTTATCTGATTACGTAACTATTACTAATTTTATTTTGTCACCAGCCCAACAACACAACTGTTAATTAATTTTTTTCAAGAAACTTCTCTCTGACAAGATACATATCTATGTGTCGTAACACTTAAGACACCTTGTAAATCGCAACGCTTTATGACGCTCTGACAATATGCTTGTTAATGGATAAAAGTTTGTTAAAATTGTACACTTTTCTATTTTATTCAGGTTGTACGCAAATGATATCTGTCTGTCTGGATTCAACATAGAACTTGGCACCGAAGTGCAGCAGTTCGAGTTGCCACGTTCCAAATAGCACACAAAGGTAGACAAGAAAATGAGTGAAGGGAATCAGTAGAGTTTTGACAAGTATAAGAGTGGAACAGAATGAGTATTGGTAGAAAGGAATATGAAAGATTACAGAGACTGAATACATCTGCGCCATTGACAACGATTTTGAGCCATGTCACCTATTGTCTGTCTCCAGCCATTGATTCTTAGAGTCCCGAGGGCCCCAACCAGGAAGTCTGCATCTCCCTCCCTCCCTACCTGACTCAGTTTAACTGTCAAACATTTCATGGATTGATTGATGCCATGTTTTTGTTTGGCATGGCACCACTTACTCTTTTCCAACCTGCACCTATATCAGCTAGTAATGCCCGTCGGGAGGGGGAGGCGATGGTTAGGCATGCGCAGCACGCGACCTAGCCATCTCAATCTATGTGACTTTATAGCCTCATCGATTGATTTTCCCTGTTTGCCCAACACTCTACGCCTAACGTCAACATTACTTACCTTATTATACCACCTAACGTGAGAGAGGGACCGTAAACATCTGTGGTCAAAAACAGACAACCTTTTCATGTCTTCAACTCGTATTGGCCATGTTTCAGAGCCATAAAGAAGGACGGAGCGAACTGCTGAGCAGTACACACGTCCCTTAGTTGATAGCCGGATGTCACGCCTACGCCACAG